GCCAATGTAACAATGGGAAAATTAATGGTCCACCGTTGGTAAAACTAATTAGAACGTTTTTATTCACGCTGCACTCTAATCTATTTGCAAATCAGCTATTCAATAGTTGTTAACGTGTTTTTTAATAATATAAAGAACTTTTAGGCCGTCTTTATTTTCATAGTCTATTTTATAAGGAAACTCCTAATTTCTTTATAATAGTGGATTTGCTACCAAACCATATTAGTTCTTCAAAACCTGAGAATGGAAATGTTTGTAACTAAGTTAATCTAAAGTGGTAGCCAACATTTACCATGTACTCGGTATTATTTATCTTCTATAGGGTCTTCATCCTTTATGGGATAAATTAATTTAATTTAAAGTAAACTTTCAAGCCACTGAAGTGTTGTTTTAGTCTTTTCTTATTGATGATGATGATGAATTTTTCTTAGGGACAATTTGCTGCTTAAAAAAAAATTGTATGATTTCTCTTGCAATCTTTTCAATAAAATAGGATTTTAGTTAAAAACTCACTCTTTACTTCAAAGAAAAAATTATCCAATCATGGGTGGAACATAAGAGATTTCCTCAAATATGAGGTGGGATAGACCCGGTCTGGTATCGAGTCCGAGTGTCTGACACTGCTTAATTAACTATGAAATTCTTTGAGTTTATGTACTCCATCCGACCCAAAATGCCGAAATGGCAGTCCAAAAAAGGTTTGTCACTTCCATTTAAAGTAAGGAATATGTGGCTAAATTTAATTCTCTCTTATCTGCACAAATTTCAACCATACAATTTGTACTTTGTTAATCAACGTGCAAGTCAATATTGGCCAACCATTTTGGGATGGAGGGAGTATGATTTATCCAAACATCTTCACTCCCGTGCGTAGCACGGGTGGAATTACTAGTTTCACATCAAAATGCATAGATTGTGAGTTTATTCAATGTTTTCCCTCATTTGCTTCATAAGGTAATAATACTTTGTTATGAAGCAGAAAAAAATAAAATCAACCGAATATACCGTTGTCCAAAGCCAATAGGCTAAAACCAATTTTATTCCAAGATAACAAGAATGAACCCTGGCGAGGGGTATGAATAGCCTTCTACAAGAAACCCTAATCAAGCCCAAATTAATTAAATCCTAATTAGGCTCATACTAACTCTACTAAGTACTCTACAATAATAGGCCCAAACCAAAACATAACATTTAATAATAATAAATAAATTATAAAGACAACCCGTAACCGGCCCACGGAAGTGGGCCCAAGCCCGGTCCTGCCCCATACTCTTCCCGCTATCTATCATACTTGGTCTATGACTGTAGATAGTTCTATGAGTATTATGCAATATAGTTTTAGTAGGTTACGGACAAAGATCTTAACCTTGGTTGTTTTACAAAGTTCAATGACTCTATGGAGGAGTTATTAGTTTCAAAGGTTGAATGGATGACTATTTTTCAGTAAAAAAGGTGATATTAAAAGCATTTTGCACTTACTGGTATTAATAAAGTAGGAGCAGAGCCATGTAGTTCAATATAATAGTACTAACGGTATTATATAAAATTGACTCAAAATAACTAGTAGGAGTAGAGCCATGTATTTCAATCTAATAGAGTTACTGGTTTATTGGGATCAATGACAAACGACTCCAGCAAAACCATGTTTGGTTTCAGTCATCAATTTTAATCGACTATTTCTATGGTATACTCGAAGTCTTATACATAAAATAACTCTTCTACCTGGATATTTTATACTTTGATATTGTCAAGCAATTTCAATGAGAGAATAAACAGGTTTCTTATTCAATTTATCAATTTTAATCCATTGTTTCAATGAGAGAAAAACAGGTTTGGTTTCAATTTTTCATTTTTTAAGAGTTGTTTCTATGATATATTCGAAATCTTCTATTAACTTATTGAAATGCTTTATAGTCTTTGAATAGCCAACACAATCTGAAACCTAATGAAGTAGGGGATTATACCAATGTTGCAATTAAAAACGTGTATGAGAACATTGAACTGCCTCATGTGTGAAATTAAATTAGTACTCAGTTTGAAAATGACTTACTCATCCCTGGATTAGCAATGACTTTTGGGGGAAGTTTGCAGTTCACAGTTTAGTCAATGAAGCTTTTATTTTGATTAACAAACCAAGCTCTATAGCCATTCTAATCGGAAAAAGCACAGCCCGCCCTTCAGCTTCCTGACTGGAGTTAGCACTGATTGGAAATTGTATCGCCCAAATCATCTCCCCCCTTTAATTTGTCTCTGAAAATGGCACCCCCTGCCGAACTGTCATAGGAGAATGAGGCATCAACATTTAACTTATACTCACCCTGTGGTCGTTTCCATCGATGGAACATCGGTCTTCCATAAGTGAAGTTATGAGCAATCATCCCCTCCTGAATCAGATAAGTTTCAATTCTTCTTTGCTTCATTTTAGAGAAATTAGCTGACCAGGGTTGAGTGTGGTGTTTAATCTGATAAATCAAAACTTTTTTCGTTGGTATGGGAACTGTACCCCATGTATGCGCAGAGTAGGCCTTCCAAATGAACCAACAGATAATACCTGGTAAATTGTGCTTGAATAGATCTCCCATAGTCTTAGAACCAGCCTCCAACCACCATTGTATAAATATTTGTCTGACCTATGGCTGACGTCTTGGAATAGGTATGTGAAATATATTCATGAAATAACTCCATATCTGTTTTGATAAAGAACACTGGTAGAAGAGATGGTTTATTGTATCAAAATTATTCATGCACATAGGACACCTGGAAGGCCTTATGACCAAATTAAATCTCCGCAGATTATCGGTAATAGGCATGCAGTTATGAAGAAGCTTCCAAATAAAGATCTTAATTTGCATTGGTTGGGTTTTATGCCTAATATGCCTATGAGTAAAAGTATGGGAAAGAACCTCTCTTAGTTCATTGTAAACAGTGGATAATGTGAATTGTTCTAGCTTTGAAGCATATCCTCCTCCAAATGGCTGAGTCGGTGACTTTAACATTCATATCTTCTTTGGGATATCTAGCTTTGAAGAATGAGCTTCATATATGAGTTTTCCATTTCCACCAGATTTTCATAGAGAAAGCCTTTTGAATTGTAGACAAAGACCTGATACCCCACCCCCTTCTTCAGTTGGGTAACAAAGATCAGAACATTTAACCCAGTGAGTTTTTTGCTTGTCATTAGATGACCCCGAAAGGAATGCTGCCATCTTCTTCTCAAGAATATTAATCACTTTTCTGGGAAAAAGATCCACAACCAGAATATGTAAAGGGATAGAGTTCAGAACATGTCTAATCAAAATTACCCCCCCCCCCCCCCCCGAGTAAGGTGCTTCTGTTTCCAAGCAATAAGCTAATTGTCAGAGTTCCTCATCCCCGACAAGTTTTTTATAATATTCACTTTGCCCAAAGCCGGTTTTCCGCAAATAAAGAGCTTTTATCTAGGTTAGCAGTCTGTCCTGAGGCAATCTGATAGCCTTCAATAAATTTCTTGAAATTCAATAGTGATCGAGACTCCCCATTAATAAATTAAAATAAGTAGGTCATCTGTAAAGCCAAGATGAGATATAGGGTAGCCGACATTACCCATCCAAATAGGTTTGATCTTGCCTTCTATCATTCTATGTTTTAGACAAATAAGGGGAGTTTACCAAGACAATGTAGACGTGTAGTACTTATTAATTAATAATCAAGGGTAATAGTCGTGTATGATTATTACAACGCGCGTGAAAGTCACTTGGCAATGTTTTCTTATTCCGGAAGTCTCCCCTTTCCTTCTCAATTGAGACCCCTATTTATAGATGTGGAAGAGATGAAATATGTTTTAGGGTTTGAGTAATTCATCCATATCTGTAGGGTCTCTATTGAAATGGGCTTTGAGCTTAATTTACTTGCATTTTCATAGCTAGAAAAATCAGCACTTGTGCGATGTATCTAGGCAACTTTGTTAACAAGGTTCATAACTACTTTCCATGCATTTGGGTGGAATTCTTAACTAGATTAATTGCTCGCTTCATGACTTGGGCCATGTATCTTATATATTGGGCCACTTTTTAATATTGGACCCAAAATAGAGGATTTGTTTTGGAAGAAAAAATAGAGGATTTATTAAGGAATTGAATTTTAAAAGGATCAACCCATTCTTTTAAAGACTTGATTTAAAATTAAATCAATTTGTTGTTTTAAATGATTCAAATTAATTTAATCACTAAATTTTATCCGAATAGACCCATCTTAATATTTTGCATTTGCTACGGCCCAACAACCATCACGAATAATCCAATCGGAATTGAAATAAGCCCAATAACATTTAAAAGAAGCTCAATAAAGTTGAGAATAGCCCGATAATATTTACAAGGAGTCCAATGGCCATGACAATTGGCCCAATAATTTTATATGTCCACATCAATGATAATTAATCCGAAGTCTTATATAGGGAATTAAAAATTTATAGTCCTACTTGTGCATTTGAGTTTACAACATTTTTACATATTTTTCCCTCTTCTACACAATTCTTCGTCACACAATATACACTATTTTAATCTCCTCACAACTATACTTTGAAATACTACTACTCTCTCCGTCTCGCTAAGATTGTCTCAGACACTATTTACTCGGTCGACATAAATCACTCTTAATTTCTTACTTTATATATCAAATTTTTATCAAATTTGATTCTGGTTTTTGCGACTTTGTAAAGCTTTTAATGTAGTTTCTGAACATGTAATTTTTTTTTGTTTTATCATCGGTCAAGCATCGTAAACCTAATTGTTTCAATCTTGGTGGGACGGAGGTAGTATAATTTAGTCAAGAATGGAGTACAACGTACATCTTGATTAGTGTGTTAATTCACTATGAGTAGACAATTAGTTATCCATATGTTTTTTAATTTTCCGAGTACGCTTTGGTCTAGTCCTCGTACTCTTGTACACTTTCTTCTTTCTAATAAATAGGTGAGGTGTTCCCCGGCCCTTACCCCGAAACCGAAAGGGTTTGGCTCAATACCGGGACTAAAAAAAAAAAAAAAAAATTCACTATGAGTAGTAGAAAATAAAAATGATGTATTGTGAGTTGAGGTACAACATTTTTCAAAGAGTATCATGATAGATAATACTGATCGGAGTAGTCTACAGTCTACGCATACCTACATATATATTGCATATAAAATTTGAAGCAGCTAAGTTAGCTTATTATCAAATGCAGCAAACAAACTCGAAAACTTTGAAAAAAAGCTGATATGCGGAGATGAATTGAACTAGCTAGAGTAGAAGGCGGCGGCGTGGCGGGCCTGGCTGATAGAGTTTTGACGCGGCGGCCATGACGTAAGAAGAAGGTGGTGGCGCCGTCGCACCACCCTGACGATGGGATCCATAGGGCTGCGGAGATTGGTACCATGTCCCCGGTAGCGCTCTTGATGATTGTTCGTACTCCTCCTCATTGTGCGATGATGGGCTTATCATCATCACCGCCTCCTCCTCTGCCGGCGTAGCTTTCACGACGACGGCGCCATAGCTCATCCTCATTATCTTGTTTCCATTATCGAGTGCCAAACCGTGAACCAAGATTAACACCATAACATACAAAACAGCTTTCATTGTCACGATAACCAATTAAGTTACATATATTTATGACTACTTAATACTTGTATCATTCATGTGTGAGATCGACTGTAGGAGAGATCCTCACGTCAATAATGTAATTTGATTTATAGCTAGCACTCCGACCATATATATCAAGTATTGAATTGGTAGTCCAAAAAATGACATACGCGTCATTGCGACTGCTCTGCTTCTAAAGTCAACCTTTATCGATCTAATAATGTACGATAAGAAGAAGTCATCAAAGTAGTGCTAATTAGTAAACAAATTCAGTATGAATTAATGCCGTCAACGGTCATTCACCTGTTTTGAATATAATTAATCAAGTTGTTGGGGTGATAGGATTTTGGCTCAAACCGTGTACGTGAAAATCTTGGTTTGAATCTTGGGAAAATTAGATGGAAAATTAGTGATGGAAAATTAGATCAAGAAATCTAGGTTCGAGTCCCCGCAGCGACCGTGTGGAGGCCACAACCTCTAAAATAGGTTGGACGTTTCACGTTTGGCGCGCACGGGCATATGAGCCTACTGCCACTCCGCCGATTGAGTCGTCGTGATTTACATCCTCCCATCTGCCCTGTCAGGTAGGGGCGTGGGAGGCTTTGGGGGTGGGAGATTCCACAAATGGATCAATGAAAAAATGCGTTTATATGCCATTTTGTACGTTTTTTGTACACGCCCACCTAGCCCCTAGGTGTTGTGTATTATGTACGCAACAAATTCGTCAAAAAAGAGCATAATTTGTAAGGAAGTTGTTTGCAGGGGAAGATCAATATGGTGGGCTAAAGCATCCACACCTACTTAATTTTTTCCTAGTGTATGATTTTTCGTATTTAGGTTAATCTACATAATACAAGTCTATAATTTTGAAACATCCACATTAGAATTCATTGGGAATATATTTCATCATTTCTTTTGAATCATTACGGATTGTTACATTAATTTTATTCTTTTAGTGTACACGTCTTATATATATCCATAATTTATTGATATATTTCACAAATTTCCTCCGATTCTCTCATTTAGTGAAAGATTGAACTTTAGTGTCATGTCCATAATTTAGAAACGTAGAATTTGTTTTTGCCTAGTGAAAATGTGATTTAAAATATGAAAAAGTTACTCCTTATACAAGATATATTTTCTAACCACATGTTTTCCTTATTTAGATGTCCCTAATTTAACTTCCCATTTTCTTAAATGGAAAGTTATCTAGTGCAAAATAGTGCAAAACAGGGTCAAACAGTGTCAAACAGTGTCAAAATAGTAAAATTTACCCTCTAGTAAGTTTATTTCCTTAATATGCGGATAAAATTTCACTAATATTACTAGTCTTTTAAGAGTTACGGACAAAAAATTGACTTGGTAACTTTTAGTTATGATGTGTGTTTTCTCGCACTTAAAAAGATTGTAATATACTGGTGTAAGTACGAGTATCGTCTCCACAGGGACGGACAAAAGGGAATTAAGAATTAACTAAATTCAGCGATTAAAAAGAAAATAAAATAAATGCGTCGTGCGAGATTAATTGGTTGGAAAATTAAACTAATGCGAACAATTAAACTAGGGGGTTCTTTCTAATTAATGACGAAGGGAACATGGATCGATTCCGGGGTAACCAGATTTCTGGCAGATCAGGCCTAATTACATGAAATTAATTTAATTGAGCCTAGCTAATCATTACTAAGTTCTTACCGCTCTCGCGGCGTAGAGTACAATAATTTAGGGGACCAGGCTGATCTCTCATGCGACAGGATCCTAAATTATTGCCAAGACGAGCGAGCTTACGGCCCCTT